TACTAATTTAACTTAACTAAGCGATTTGAACTGGTATTCAGGTTATGTTTATTTATTTCAGAATTTGTTTTGCTGTTTATCGTTAAATAAATTAAAATGGATGATGAAGACGTCCAATTTTATCAAGTTCACAATGTTGTTATTCAAAAAATTGGCAATGTTCCGTTAGCTAACGGTGATTTTACAAAGATTCCACGTCAAGTACAATCATGGGTGGCACAAATGGTAAGTACATGTAATAGCTTTAAATTAATTAATCATGCGTCTTATCATTTTATCTTCTAAATATTGCACCATTTTCCGGTTTGGACTGAAAACTGTTCTTTTTTATTTTAGGTTCAACTGTGTACACCTCGAGGTATTTACATTTGCGATGGCTCGCAAGAAGAAGCCGATATGGTTATTCAGAAATTAATTGACCGAGGAACATTGACTCAACTCAGAAAATATGAAAATTGTTACATTTGTCGAACTGATCCGAAAGATGTAGCAAGAGTGGAGTCAAAAACCTGGATTGTAACTCAAGATCGTTATACAACGTGTAAATATGAGTTATCACTATGTAGGAACGTATTTTCATAGGTCATGATGCTCTTTCTGTTAAGTGCCACATTCACAGGAAGGTGTAAAATGTGTACTTGGTCAATGGATGTCACCAGATAACATGAAAAAAGAACTTGATGAACGTCTTCCAGGATGTATGGCCGGTCGAATGATGTATATAATTCCGTTTTCAATGGGTCCGATTGGTTCTTCATTGTCAAAATATGGTGTTCAAGTTACAGATTCAAATTATGTTTTACTTTGTATGAGAATAATGACACGTGTTTCATCAGATGTATGGTCACATCTTAAAGATGGTGAAGAATTTGTTAAATGTCTCCATTCAATGGGTTGTCCAAGACCACATCAACAAAAAGTTATCAATCATTGGCCGTGTAATCCGGAGAAAACAATCATAACACATTTTCCTGATATTCGAAAAGTTATATCCTTTGGCAGTGGCTATGGTGGTAATAGTTTATTAGGCAAAAAATGTTTTGCTCTACGTATCGCTGGACGAATTGCTTATGATGAAGGATGGTTTGCTGAACATATGTTAATTATGTCTGTTACAAATCCAAAAGGAGAAGAAAAATTTATTGCTGCAGCTTTTCCATCTGCTTGGTAAGTTAGTTATTTTCACCTATTTATATATTTGATTTGAAGTAGTCGATAAATTGTTACCATCAGCTATTTTTGTTCAACATTCACATACTGTATTTACATCAATAATTTACACTGCTTTTTTTTCTATATTTAAGTGGCAAAACAAATTTAGCTTTACTGACACCATCAATTGAAGGTTATACGGTTAAATGTGTTGGTGATGATATTGCATGGATGCGATTCGATAAAGAAACTGGTGAATTAAAGGCAATCAATCCAGAAGCTGGCTTCTTTGGCGTTGCACCGGGAACAAATATGAAAACAAATCCGATAGCAATGCGTACATGTCTCAAAAATTCTATATTTACAAATGTAGCCGAAACCGAAGATGGAGGTTTCTTCTGGGAAGGCATGGAGGTAAGAGTGTTTATGATCTAAATATACTCAGATAATATTTATTTCAAATTGCTTTTATGTGTGTTTAGGATGAAGTTGAAAAAGGCACAGAAATAACATCATGGCTCGGTGAAAAATTTAAATTGGGTGATATCAAAAATTTTAAAGCCGCACATCCAAATGGTCGTTTCTGTTGTCCAGCTTCACAATGTCCGGCTATACACCCAAAATGGGAAGATCCAGCGTACGTTAAATGAAAATTTCGTTTCATGTATCACTAATCTTTTATCAATAATTTAATCTTCTAATTCTAGTGGTGTTCCCATATCTGCGATTATATTTGGTGGTCGAAGACCGGAAGGTTAGTACACTCTCAAAATTTCTTATGTTTTCATAAGTTATCTTTTATTATTTTAGGCGTTCCATTGATTATTGAATCGTTTGATTGGAAACATGGTGTTTTTCTTGGAGCACAAATGAAGTCCGAAACAACAGCTGCTGCGGAACATACGGGAAAAGTGTGAAATAAATAGTTTTTTGAGAAAAAATTATATATTGTTTTATGTCTTTTTTTTAATTTTATTTTAGGCAATAATGCACGATCCGATGGCAATAAGACCATTCGTTGGTTATAATTTTGGACATTATTTACAACATTGGCTTAATTTTGAAAAAGACCCTAAAAATAAAGTATGTCTACTATAATTTCTTTGCTGAGAATTAGCAATATTCATTTTTTTATGTTTTTATCTCTTTAGTTACCAAAAATATTCCATGTCAATTGGTTTCGTCTAGATAAAAATAAGAAATTCTTATGGCCTGGATACGGTAG